GTAAATAGAGAAGGAGTAGGCGATAAGTATCAGGCAGTTTATGTGCAGTGAGCATTTCAGGGCCACAGGCTGCCGGTGGATTGGCTCGAACAGGTTGCTCCCCAGCTGAGAGAGTAAGTATCCTATTCCAAGATAAAATCTGGTTGGGACACAAATATCGCTTAGCAGTTCCAAGACTCCACGAAATTAGTTCTAATCGCAAAGATAGATCAGTTGTTCATATGAGTTGCATGCCATAGATTTTAGGTTTTAAGACACTGCATGGTTCTATAATGCAATCGGCCTGGAAATATGTCTTAGGTCAAAAAAGATAGAATGCTAATTATACAGGCTAGATCGCAAAGTTGAATGCATTGGACAATCAGTAATCTCTAAATGTCCTTTTTGATGGACTGGATCTTGGCAGAAGGCAGTTTTACACTGATTCAATGGAGTCGATGGTGAATACCAAGAATTGTGCTGTCTGTGAAGAATTGTGCTGTGCTGTCATATGAGTTGCATGCCATAGATTTTAGGTCTTAAGACACTGCATGGTTCTATAATGCAATGGGCCTGGAAATATGGCTTGGGTCAAAAAAGATAGAAAGCTAATTATACAGGCTAGATCGCAAAGTTGAATGGATTGGACAATCAGTAATCTCTAAATGTCCTTCTTGATGGACTGGATCTTGGCAGAAGGCAATTTTACACTGATTCAAAGGAGTCGATGATGAATACCAAGAATTGTGCTGTCTGTGAAGGGGAAAGATACAATCTATCCCAGATGATGATGAACCCCAGATTTTGACAAAGGGTCACCACCATGTTTATTTGTTCTCTTAAGATGTCTGGATTGTGTGCTAAGAGCAGGATGACCTTCAAATAGATAATGGAATGAATCTCTCTGGTCCAAAAATCAGCCAGACAGAGCCAGAGGTTTCAAAATCTTTGTAAAAAACCAAAGGGCCAAACTTAAACCAAAAAACAGGCAAGTGAAGTGCAATAGACTGTGCATACTTATAGGATCCATGGATCTTGGTAAAACAGTAACCATTGTTGGAAAAAATGAGTTATACGGCCTTCTTAAATATATGAGAAAATATGTTGTGTCTTACCTGTGTTGGATCTGCCCAGGAATAGGGTGGTCATGGGAAGAGCATCTAGAGAATAAAGTGCAATGTTTGTAGCAGGATCCATCCTGCCACAAAGCGTCAGATAGCATCTTTGTTGATTAGTCCTGGCAGAGAAACTCTTAGAGTGGAACACATTATTATTATTATTATTATTATTATGTTATTTATATAGCGCCATCAAATTCCGCAGCGCTTTACAATGGGTGGACGAACAGACATGTAGTTGTAACCAGACAAGTTGGACACACAGGAACAGAGGGGTTGAGGGCCCTGCTCAATGAGCTTACATGCTAGAGGGAGTGGGGTAAAATGACACAAAAAGTTTTCCTCAAGGTAAAGTAAACACATTTCAGATGAATTTTATGAATCTGTCTTCAAAGAGAAGACTCTTGGCTTCAGGTCCTAATTCTCTAGTGCCCAGATCTGACAGCTTTTGTAAAGAATTGTCTTGTGTCTCTCAGTTGAAACAGCCACATTGGCATTTCTTATTAGACATAAAGTTCTGGAGGCTTTACAACTTAGCTGATGATAATCAGAGAACATGAAAATTTATGCTAGACTGTTTTGTGCCGTAGGCAAGACCAGCTACTTGCATCCCTTTAACCCCTTAAGTACCAAACTTCTGGAATAAAAGGGAATCATGACATGTCACACATGTCATGTGTAGTGATGTCGCGAACGGTTCGCGAACTTGCCGCGAACGGTTCGCCACGGTTCGCCACGAACCGTTCACAGCGAACTCCGGTCAGCTGACACATCCCTGCCAATCTCTGGCAGACCCTCCCTCCCAGACCCTCCCACCTCCTGGACAGCATCCAGGTTGAAGCTGCCTTCAGCATGGATGCTGTCCAGGAAGTAGGAGGGTCTGGGAGGGAGGGTCTTCCGGAGATTGGCAGGGATGTGTCAGCTGACCGGAGTTCGCCGCCAACGGTTCGTGGCAAGTTCGCGAACGGTTCGCGACATCACTAGTCATGTGTCCTTAAGGGGTTAAAACAACAATTGCCAACTTTGTGGATATTGTTCTCCCCCAGGCTCTTTGTGTGTCCCTTTGTCCCCTGAGCCCTTTGTGTGTCTCTTTCTACCCCAGCCTCTTTTTGTGTCTCCTTCAGCTCCTTTGTGTGTTTCTCCCCCCAGCCCTCATTCGTGTATGTCCCTATCCCCTTTTTTTGTTTCTCCCCTGTGTCCCTTTGCATGTCTCTTTTTCCTGTACCCCAGCACTTCTGAGTGTGTCAGCCCCTTTGCCCCTTCCTCAGCCCCTCTGTATTCCATTGTACCATTCCCCATCCCTTCTTTGTTTCTCTGTGTCCCCAGACCATCTGTGTGCATCATTGTTCTTTTCCAGAGTCCCTCTGTGTGCCTCTGTGTTCCTCTGTGTGCCTCTATGTTCCTCTCCAGCCCCTCTGTGTGTCTCTTTGTCCCCCAGCCCTCCTTGTGTTTCTTTGTCTCCCTAGCACCTGTATGTGTCTTTTTGTCCTCCCCCAGCCCCAATGTGTATTCCTTTGTCTCCCCAACCCCTCTGTGTATCTCTTTATCCCTCCATCCCCACTATGTGTCTCTTTGTCACCTCCAAACCCTCTATGTGTTTCTTCGTGCTTCCAGCCCTACTGTGCACCTTTAAGCACGGCAGAGATTGTAGGAGGTCAAGTTGACAGAAGGTCTCCAAACAGAGCTATGTATTAACAGCCTGTTAACCCAGAAGTCCATTAGTGGAGGGGGTCTCCCTCAGGGCACACTTTATATAGGATGGATCACTTGGGAGATCGCCCCATAAGGGCATGGCACTAATCCAAGGGCAGACTATTCACATATATTTAACAGTCAAACTGCTTGCCCAGTTGTTAGATGGCGGATTCCAGGCAAGTAGAACAATGTAGAAGCACCTACGATGGCTGCCAGAGCTCTCAGTAGCATAGAGGAAATCTAAGGAAACAGTGGAAATGAAAAGGAAGTCATTCACAAGATCTTGCAAGAATCCAAAATGGCCACCAAGAGTTGAACGTGAGCTAGAAATGGAGACAGTGAGATTTAGAAGGCAGGGAAGGCCAAGGGAATTTAAGGAGGTGATGGGATCCTTGGAAATGAGAGAAAGAAACAATCAATCCGTAAGGTACAACAGAACAATGATAAACCACAATATTTCCCAAAAGTAGGGAGATAAGTTGAAAACTGACCTCACTTGGGAAGAAGCAGCAAAGAAAGAGGAAGAGGGAGGAGCTTATGCATGCACTATGTTATTGCCTGAATACTGATTGGTTATGTTTTTTTTTATGTTTCTATGTCACTTTTGTTTACAGCATCTTTGTTGCAGCAAGGTAGTTATATGAAGCCTCATGTCTCAGTAATGTGTAATTAGGGTGAGCATGTGTCATTGGGGGCCAGGTCATGCGCTGCGGCCCTTTAACAGTGCAACTGGGCTTGTATCTGTGTCTGTGTATGTCGTTATTTGTATCTGTGTATCTGTGGATCTGTGTGTGTGTGTGTAATGCATTCTTTGAAATAGATTGAATAATTTCATCTGTGGAGGTCAATTTACTAAAAAAAAGTAAACTAAAAATCTGCAAAAATTATTTTATACCTCCCTGTTTATATTGACTGAAGAGCAGATCTTTGACTAAAATATTTTGGGCATAAAAAAATCATAATCAGACACAAGAAATATGACAATCTTGATAAACACAGAGAAAGGGACAGGGTATCATCATTAGAGGTAGGATGTAGGGGTAAGAGCCATATGTCAGACACCTACCAGGTATTAATTACTCTCCACCTTGACAGACACACAGGACCCAGGGGAACTATTTCTTGTCTTTATATGAAGAAAAGATGTATATATAAACGGAGACAGCAATGTAATGATCCATTTCCAGAATGCTTATTTTCTTGGCATTAAACTAACGCAGCAAAAAAGCCCTTATGGAAATGGTGAGTTAAGCTCAGAAGTCAACCCCACAATCTACTAAATTACCCAGAATTCAATTTATTTAATGACTTACAATGTTTTCAACTCCTACTTGCAAATCAAGCCAATAGGGTTTCTTTAATTATGCTACCTTATTGTTAGGGGAAAAAGTATCCATTAAAAATAGGATGGATCACACCTTGCTAAGTAGACAAAAGACTGAGCAGCAGGTTGGCAGTAAAAAGCATTGTGGCTTTTTTTGTCTAAATGATCCAACACTCCTAGGTGGCAATGCTGAAAATCAGCAGCTTTTTAAGTGTAATTAGTAGCTTGAATGCTAAGGAAAAGCATTTGTCATGTAAGCCATTAGCATTGACATCATTGTACACGCTAGTTTTTTTCAATCATTTTTACCTACTTCATTATCTTACAGAACATCACAAGCTATTATCGTAAGAAAGTGCATAGCAATTTAAAAACATAATAAAATGCTTTACATGTTTACCTCGGCTTACAAAGGGGCAATGAGAAATTAGGGAAAGGGGCTGCTCAATCTGGGTTCATCTTCTCACTAGAGACCTAATATCATCAAATGGTTGTTTTAAAGAACACTTCTCATTTTTAAAATGTTTATTACATTTAATGAAACAATTATATTTTTTTAAATTATGTATATTTGTTTAAAAAAATCACTTTTTACGTGGCTTCTTGGGTCAGACTTGCCTGTTCTCTGACTAAATGCTGCACAAACTAACTTGCCCGCTGCTGTGATTGCTCAGTGTGAAACTGCAGCAAAAGGCAACTTAGATCGAGCTGCAGTTGGTCAGGTAACAGAGTCTGACCCAAGATAGCTGCTCAACCAGATTGAAAACCGAAATTGTAGCAGAAAAAAAAAACAATATTAATCAATATGCATAATTTCTGGCACTAACATGCAATTTAGATTGTGCTGCTAGGGAGATTTTTCTTTCTTTTTTATCTTTATTTAGGGAGATATTATTTAGTATTTATCTAGCACCCAACATATTTAACAGTGCCTTCAAGTTTTTATATTGTGGAGATGTTCCACCAATGAATGCAGCAGGATTTATCAACCTAGTAGATGTGGGTTTAAAGAAGAAGCACTATATAAAACAGTCGGTGGGTTTGGTATGCTGGTAAAGATGAAGCATTATGAATCACGGTGGAGATGGAGGTGCTGAGGTGGAACGTTACAGATGGTACAGAACACCAAAGGAATCTATTATGGAGAGTTCAATGTCAGTTGGGTGATTTCCACAGTGTGGTATAAGTAATGATTTGCTTGTGGGTAAGTTAGGTTGGAAGTAGAAATAGAAGCATACAATTGTCAAGGTTTAAGGACATGTCTCCATCATAGAGGAAAAGATAGGATGAACGCTGATGACAGTGGGACATGTGTTTGAATGGCAGTGTATTTGCCTATTTGTAAAAATTTTAAAAAGCAGGTCATTTGAGGAGATGTGGTATGAGGACAGAGACGGTGTTATAGTAATTGTAGAGGACCATTCCTTGGGCAAAGAGAAGCAGTAAATTTTTGAGGTATTGTTATGGAGAGGAGGAACAAAATACAGAAAAACAAATTGGGAAAACAAATCTAGTGACTGACGAGTTGTTAATTTAAGTACCCAGATTTAAAGCTGTGTGGTAATGACGCCAGTTCATATCTGCATTCGAACACCTTTTCATTTACGAAGCTTAAAGTCTGTGCAGTGCAAGCTCTAAGCAATGCTTGTCCTTAAAATAATTTATATTCACATGTAACAACGGGAATGGGCCAGTTCTTGCATGCAAGCTATACAACCTGAATGCCATATGCACAAAACCCGATTCACCTGTAACAAAAACATTTTTTTCAGGCAAATCAATTCAAACCAACAACATTTTTACGTAGTGCACAAGTCAATTATTTACTGGGCAAGACCTAGTAGCTGAACTCCTTTATTCATTTTGTGGTTTTTTTTTTCATCATGTTTAGAGTGTTTGGTATTGAAATAATTAAATACTTTTTGGTATTTTTCTCTTTGGCAAAACCAACACATATATTTTAAGGATATACAATTAAGTCCTCCAATGATTTATAAGGTGAAGCTTTACTGGTTTGAGAGGTACTACATCAATACTTGTGATTAGATGGAAGCCATATTAGCATAGTTTCCAACAGTGGCAGAACTACCACTGGTGCAGCTGGGTCGGGGGGCCTATCAGGTGGCCCATGCACCTAGGGCCACTCGATGGGAATCTTTGGTCGAGGGGGCTAGTCAGGTGCCATGGCCCTTTAGTAGTTTTGGTAATGCCGCAGTGCAGTGCTGGCAGAAAGTGAGCACATGTCACTTCCTCCCACCTTACCAAAGAGCCGCGCGGGGGAGACGACCATAGAGGAGGGAGCTCCAGGACAGGAGGAATGGAGAGCCTGGACTCGACTCCTATCACACACAGCCATCTGCCACATATTCATTTTCCTGGCACTGCAGGACCCTCTAGTGCCCATCTCCCTACCACCCTCCATCCCAAGTTGCTGAAGGGGTTAAAACCCCTTAAGGGACTTACTGGATGTAAGTCCTTCGGCACTGGGTCAGGCTCTGCCTATGCTCCTCCCCCACCGACGTCAGCCGACGGGGGAGACCTAATGTGCATACGCGGCCTTCAGCGGGGGAGACCTAATGCGCAGACAGCCACTAGAGGAGGACTTAACCCTGCAATTCAAATATTGCAGTTTATGAAAACTGCAATAATTAGACTTGCAGGGTTAAGGGTAGTGGGAGTTAGCATCCAGACCACTCCAATGGGCAGAAGTGGTCTGGGTGCCTGGAGTCTCCATTTAAGCAAGGGGTGGCTAAATTTTTTTAATGTGATCTTTGTTTGTATATGTTATCTGTGCGCACGTGTTATCTGTGTGTATGTATCTCATTTGTGTGTTTGTATGTGTTATATGTGTGGTCCTGTGTATCTGTATGTTTATGTGTATGTGTGTCAGTGTTTGTGTCTGAATGAGTGTCATTGTGTGTATATGTGTGCCTGTATCTGTATATCTTTATGCATGTTAGTGTGTATTTCTGTATTTATATGTTTATTAGTGTGTGTTTGTGTATTTGTATGTGTGTTAGTATGTGTCTGTATTTGTATATGTATGTGTTTGTGTGTGTCTTTGCATGTGTGTGTCTTTGCATGTGTGTGTATCTGTACGTCTGTGTATCTGAATGTGTGTCAGTGTTTGTATCTGTATATGTGTTAGTGTGTATCTGTATGTGTGTTAGTGTGTATTTTAATGTGTGCTAGTGTGTATATCCGGATGTGTATCTGTATATGTCTGTGTGTGAGTGTGTATGGCAGTGTACATGTATATGAGTATACATCTCGACATTTAAACTCCAACACTACACACAAATACACCCCTGCATTCAAACGTCAACACTACAAACTACTACTTTCAAATGGCAACAGTACATAAAAACACACAACAAAACTCTACACACAAATACACCCATACATTCACACACATACTCCATAGAAAACATCAAAACATACAATTACTGCTCACTGCTAAGTACAACCCTGCAAGGATGGGCCAATGGTAGATCCCCAGCTTACAAAGAATTGTGGGAGTTGTACGACAAATGGTATTCTATCTTTTTGTCCATCCTTGCGATGGGGGGTGGGGGCTCAAAAAAATTCTTGCACCAGGGCCCTCTCTGTTTTAGTTCTGCCATTGGTTTCTAACGAAGGAAAGTCATAGTGGTGTTCTGTTAAAGAATACTTTTCAACAATGCCTTCAGCTTTGCATTTAAACAGCTATGTCTTCCAGGACTTTCCACTGAAGAGGCACAGGTACTTTGTCAATAATTACTACTTATTCAGGAATTTCCACAATGGAATATCTATCAATCAGTGTTTTATTCGTGCTCAATGCATTCTGATCTCCAAGCATTCAGACAGACAGGGTCATCGACCCTATGGCTAAGACAGTAGTCATTTAGGACACATCACTAGAGACAGAAGGATATCCAGTTATTTTCTTTGGCAACCAAGGTAAGAAGGGACAACTAGAAGAATAACATTGTTTTCGGAAAGTTTCTCAAAATTCTCCATAATAGAATCTTAAGAATCTGGAATTCACTGACAATTTTCCATTGCAGTAGAAATAACTAAACTTTATCTGCTCATCACTTTTAAATATTCACTCTTCGCCATGACCTATACTCTGGAGATAATGTTCCCTGGTCTCTGCAGACCATGGATATAACATCAACTACAACAATACCAGCTCCACAGAGAAACTTTCAAATGCAGCAAGTGATGAATCAATTGTAGTGATTTATTATCTCACTCAAGATGATCTGAAGGCTACACCAGTTAATAAAGATACTGTGTAAAACACAAGAATAAATGACTACAATTGATTCATCACTGTCTGTGTTTTAAAGTTTCTCTGAGGAGCCTGCATTTGTACTGTTGATACGGAAATCGGCATAATTATGCTCAAGGCTGCCCAGAGAGTGTTACACTCTCTTTATTAATACAGAATTAAAGAGAGGTACCATTGCTTCACAAAATCATAACATACACAAGTATCCTGCTTTTTTAAAATTATGGATTTATATCAATATACAGAAATGGGACATTTGATGGCTGATCCCTGATGCAGGTGATAAGTATTAAAGAATAAAGAAATAAACTATGGCTCAGTAGGAAACCATGGTATGACTGGATTTTACAATCTGTTTCAATAAAAAAAATGCATACTTAAATGCATGTATGATTACATTGGGGCTATATACACTGAACAGTCATTTTCATTTTATTTTTTTTAAATATTTAGGTGTGTCCCTTTAATAGAACAGGAATCCATGGTACCTCAGGAATCAATGGTTGAACAGAAATCCATAGTACATTAGAAAATTATGTAATGGTAGGAATTCAAGATATAGCGGGAAACCATTGTACAGCAGGAAACAATACTATGTTGGAAATCCTTGATAGAACAGGTAACCATGGTACATCAGGAATCGGAAACCTGTTATATTACAGCAGGAAACCATAGAGAGCTTCAGTAGAAAATGTGGAAATCACTGATAGAACACTCGTCTATAAAGGATTATGAAATAATTATAGAACATTAATCAAACTTGGCAAGCCACATTGCAGGTGGAAGAGTCAAAGGAAATGCTACTCCTGGCAAATTCTTTCATGCCATGAACTAATATTGGGGTTTTTAAAAATTTTATGCAAGAGGTGGACTGGCTGGTCTAAAACTAGGCCAATATATATATATTTTAAGCACCTAACTGGACACTTGTTTTTATTTATTTGTAACATATGATTGACTTGTATTACCTGCTTTATACTTTGTACCTGTCCTATGTTGGTTAAGACTGTGTTTAGGTTTAAGACTCACCAAGATTTTATAGTTTTAAACATTGAGTTCAATGTTTTCGATGGAGGGAATCAAAATAACACAGTTTATTTATTGTGTTGTTTATGTGTGTGATTGGCTTTTATACAGTCATTTAAATAGGTGGTGGATATCCTATAAAGTAAACAGTTTGTTTGTGTTTTTTCTGTGAGCACTAGAAAACTTGACTGTAACGGTGCTTTCTGTTGGGTACCTCTGCCGATGGATGCTCCTAGTGCGTACCGAGGGCTCCAAGCACTTCTCCAGACACCATGAGTACTGCAGACCTCACAAACCGCCGCAGCTTGGTTGGGGTCTCGTCACCCTGGACCTACGACAAGGCTCCAGGTTCCAGTGGGTTAACCTCTCTTCCTCCAGAGAGCGAAGCAGGAACAGCTCTTACAAGAGCTAGTGATTATCCAAGGGAGTATAGTGATTATAACAATCCCTTGTAGCAGTTTCCCCCAATTAGAGACAAGACTCTAGATTGAGGGGAAAATAAGAACTGAAGAATTAATGGTACAGCTGCTCTTTTATACAGTTTTTCCTCACAAGGTTACCGCCCAGGTGGACCTTGTGGGGCACAGGACATGAAATTCACAATCCAATAAAAACAGAGTTTTACACTGAGTCACTCAGCCTGTGATATAATTAACGAAGACAATGGACTAACTCAATTCAAAGCAGGAAAAACATCAATTTTTACAAAGTCTGAATAACACCCCAAAAC